AATCAAGTGGCATTACAGTGATTTTTTTTTTTCAGTTATTTTTTTTCACAATGATTATCCTGGTTAGAGATTCATGAGACTAACAGCCTCAGGGTAGAAGCTGTTCATCAACCTTCTGCCTGAGGGGAGTGGGGCAAAAAGTGTGTGTGCTGGGTGAGTGGGGTCCTTCATGATGCAGGTGACCCTGTTTCTGCATCTTGAGGAGTAAATGTCTGTGATGGTGGGGAGACTGACTCCAACAGTCTTCTGTGCAGTCTTCACCACTCTCTGCAAAGCTTTAATTTCTGCAGCTGTGCAGCCTCCATGCCATACGTTGATGCTGGTGCACAGGATGCTCTCCACTGCACACCTGTAGAAGGAGGTGAGGAGGTGAGGAGGTTAACACAACGAGTCTGGAAACACTAGGGCCAGACAAGGTACCATCAATGGGACAATGTTCCAGCAGAGACTGGTAGGTCCAAATAACCTTAGATATTGCAGACCCACATCAGTAGATGGGAACAGCTGGAGATAATTAGCTCTGCCCTGCCACTCAGGAGCTGCAAGAGAGTGAAGGAGAAAATCCAGAATCCTCACAACATCTTTACATTCATGGTTTTTAGTGGCTTTTTCTTTCTGCCAGTTTTCAATTTTCATTGACAAAGATGCAAAACACCACCTAATACAACTCATCTATCTCTTCCAAAAGACCTTTTGTTTAAGACAAGAACAAGTTTGTACAGAACTACAAGTGTACAAGTAATTGTTTGCACAACTTGCAATGCAGCTTTTATTTTTTTCTTCAATCAATCAATATACTTTATTGATCCCAAAGAGAAAGTTTTATCTCAAATGTAGTTTTACCATACCTTTGATACAGAGGTCAAATAATTCACTGTACTGGTTCTAAAAAAGTAATAAAAGAAAAATAAAAAATAAAAAAACATACTTATTTATGTAGCAGGATTAGGGACAAATTCCTTATTTTTAGAATTCTGACATTTTTTTCAGAAATCTGTGGAAAAAAAAGTCAGAATTTGGACTATTTTTCTGAATTCTAAACATTTGATTTTTTTTTAGGAATCTGTGAAGTCAGAAATCTGGCTTTAATTTTGTAAATATGAGATTAAAGTCAGAATTCTGATTAAAAAGTTTGAATTCAGGAAAAATTAAAACCACCATGGCCCTAATCTTCTTCCATACACAGTACCTCTGCAAATAGTAAAAATAAAGTATGAAAGCTACAATATTACAGTTTACTCAGACGTTCTGCTCCGTTTCAGGTCTGACCTCTCCATACCATGACTTTCAAATGCTGATAAAACATTTGCACATAGAAACTGTTTTCACTTCTGACCTTAGCAAGAAAATTAAAATATTTAAGCAACTGATTTACGTAAAGTTCCAGAAATCCAGATAATCTGACTCAGGCTAAATCTGAGTTTTTCAGGCATATCCAGAAATTCTGTCAAGGATGCCCTCAAGAACATTTATCAACTCCACCCAGAACCTGTTTGAAAATCATCCTTAAATCATGTGGATCATGGCTTGAAGCACAAAAAGATATCAGTGAAGTCCAAATTTGAGCTCAAACGTAAGAAACAAGTTGTTGGGATAAAATGCATTTGTTCATCATAGTTCACATTAGATATTGAAAACAAATGAGTGAATTTGGTAACCATTTGTTAACTAAGTAATTATAATTAAAGGTACATACTTAACTCCCCTCTGATTATCACTGGTAGGTAAACTTCTCCCTATAAAAGCAAAACAGCCCACACTTTCCCCATTTTCATATCACAAGACACACACACTCCCACCCTCCCCCTCCATGTTTTGTTTGAGATACCAGTCACCTGTTTTCTGCAGTAAATCCTAAAAATAACAGACGAGTTTCTTGAGACTCCAGAGTCAGGGAGTTTCTTGGCAGTGAAAATTTAACTTTAAGACTATAGAAGAAAGCAACAAGCTTCTTCTTCTTTTGCGTCTTCTTCTTCTAACCAATGTTGGCCTTTTAAAGTTAAAGGCTTGGCCCCAGTTTTATCAGTGTTGCCAAAGTGTTTTCTTTTTTTAAACAAAACAGATCAAAAACGTATAATTCTCTGCAGTTAATCTTAGAGGAACCACTAGTCTGTGAAGCGAGAATGGACATCTCCAATAGCACGGCGCCAGGTCTGTCAAAAGCACTGTGTGAATCTGGGACGGTGACCTTGAGGCGGTTGGTGGAGATGGCCAGACCAGACTTCTCCAGAGTTCGAGAGGTGGTTTCATTGATTGGGGTCCAGTCTGCCAGACTGGTGCAGCACTTCCTGAACCTGGTGAAGGAGAGGATGATAGTTGGAAAGAAGCATCTCCTGCAGCTGTGGTCCACGGGGAATCAGCCGCCTGACCCATTGGACCCTTTCCCGGACATTAACCTGTATCCTAACTTTGCGAAAGACAGTGGTCCTTTGCTATGCAACACAAACCCAAAGATAGACTTGTGCAGAACGGGTCCAAAAGTACTTTATAAGACTTGTGTTAAGATTCTGAACAAGAGAACTCTGCATAACAGAGCTGTCAGCATGTGGGACGACAAGCTCGGAGGTCAGAAGCTCCAGTGGAGGACTCCTTACAAACCTCCAACAAAAAAACGGACTGGCAATCTTCATGGCACTATTGCAACAAACTCTTTTTTGTCTGTCGTCAATCTTGAGGTTTTAAATGAGTGTCCTTTTTGCAGTTTGTCTGAGAGTGTTTTTCATGTTTTTATGGACTGTATACAGCTGACGGCTCTGTTTAATCTAATAATGAGGATTTTTAGCCTTTTTGACACAGTTTTCATCAAATCTGTTTTTATTAATGGAGTACATTACATCAAAGCCACCAAGTTTAAATCCCAACTTGTTGCGCAGGGACAGACTGCAGGCTGGACCCCAACTTGATGCTGTGGCTCTGTGGAAGTGCAACATCAAGGCCAGACTGGTGTTGGAGTTTTGCTTCCACAGAGACACTGGACACTTGGAGAATTTTGTGAAACTGTGGGGATTTAACAAGGTTTTATGCACCATTTCTGATCAGGGAGAACTACAATACAACAATATCCTGATGCATGCTCAATAACACAATACAATACAATACAACAAGCTCCTCATGTTACTTTTATTTTAAGCTTGTCTTGATCACCACTTTTTAACACTGTTAACTTTTTGTGTAAAGTTTTGTTAAAAATAAAAAAATCTTCTTCTTTCGGCTTTTCCCTCTTCAGGCGTCGCCACAGCGAGTCATCCTCCTCCATCTCACTCTGTCCTCTGCATCCTCTGTCCTCACTCCAACTACCTCCATGTCCTCTCTTACTGCATCCATATATATCCTCTTTGTCTTTTTCCTGGCAGCTGCATTTCTAACATCCTTCTACCAGTATACCCGCTGTCCCTCCTCTGAACATGTCCAAACCATCTCAGTTTGGCCTCTCTAACTTTATCTCCCAGTTGTCCAACCTGTGCTGTACCTCTGATGATCTCATTCCTAATCTTATCCAGCCTCGTCACTCCTTGGGAGAACCTCAACATCTTCATTTCTGCTACTTCTAGTTCTGTCTCCTGTTTTTTTGTGTGTGTGTCAATGTCACTGTCTCCAGACCATAAAACATACTGTAGCTGGTCTCAACACTGTCTTGTAAACTTTTCATTCAACCTTTGCTGCCACCCTTTTGTCACAAATCACTCCTGAAACTTTTCTCCATCCTGCCTGGACTCTCTTCTTCACCTCTTTACTACATTCCCCATTTTCCTGGACAGTGGACCCCATTTACAACCCGATTGTAATCTCAATCCGTAACATTTGAAATTCAGTGTATTTTTAAATGTAACATTTGTACTGATCCTCATATCTGCAACATTTTAACTGATCATCACATCTGTTACTCTTTTGAACAAATTACTTTTCACAGTATTCATTGTTGCTTCTTTCAGGACCTCCACATCTGAAAATGCCTCACGAAGAAAGAATGCTGTTTGCACAAAGCTGCCTTTAACTCCTGGTGCTTTTCTGCCCCTCTTGCCCTGCTAGGCTGCGGCTGGGGGTGGGTGAAGACGGAGATAGGCCCACATCTGTGATGCACACGCCCTGTTTGTGCTGACAGTTTTTGACCTGGGGGGTAGGGGGTCATTGGAGTGGAGGAAACAGCTAAGTGTGAGGGAGATAGTGCGCTACCTCACGGACAGTTTGGTAGGCAGTGCGTTTTGCTTTGTGGACCGGGGCACCCTCCTTGTTAAATGGTAGGGGAAGCACTGAAACGAACGTTAGCTGGTGAAGTGTTGCTCCACATTGTGGCAATTTGATGTTGCACCACATACGAGACACACATTTGTCTTTCATAACTGTTGAAAAACAACTCTTCCTCCCAACTATGAAAATAATATGTTTTCTTAAACTTTTTTTTTACCATTTTCCTGTCTACTCAGGGAGGTAAAAATAGTTGTAGCTGTGCAGCTCACAGAGATCGCAGTGCATCTTTGCATCATTCAGAACTTTTACTACAGACAAAGTTGCTTAACTGTATAGGTAAAACATTTTATTCTTAAAGTTTGCCTTAATTATTTCAATTTCAAATCTACATCTTTGCAAATGTTATTACTTAAGTTTAAAAAACACAATTAAGGATTTTTAGGCGGTGCTCCTTAATGATGAGTGCTATTTTTAGAACATGCCCCGTGGGCAGCAACACAAGAGGTCCCTGCCCGTGGGCACCTTGTTCGTGACACCAGTAATTATCTATTATAGATGATTACAAAGAAATGATGCGTCTTCATTTTATACAATAAACTTTATTGATCTTAAGGCTAATAAATCCTGGTGATACAGCAGCTTGTGAACAGACCATGGGAAAAAATCCAAGCATACACTCTGGAAAAACATGTAGGATCTAAATAGATATAGAAAATAAACTAGACATTTTTCAACCTTTATTTATACAGGTTAATCCTGTTGAGCCTCCGGGACTCATTTACAAGAGAGACCTGAGATTAAACAATGTTTTGGGCTCAGGACAGGAAGGATTTCCTGAAATGGTTAGTACAGCTGCAGAGATTATCAGCCCTCCTGAGGTGGTGCACATTATCTGTACCAGGAGCATGAACTTTGACACACGAACACATAATTTTTGTCTTGCATAGTATCTCCAGTCATCCAGTCAGTCGAAAGGCATTCTGCTGGGCTGCCGATAATGCAGGGGAGGGAGAAGCAGGTGTTCATCTGAGGGGTTAAAAGATAAGAGATTTAAATCTCAGTGTCTTTCACTTTCTCGTTCACTGTCGTTATAACTTCAGAGATTCACAACAGTTTAGAAGTGACTCCCATACTTAGCAGCCACAGCCTCCCGTATAACACTGAAACAGTTTCAGCCTCTGGGCGATATTCAAGTCATCATACAGCTCAATGAAGTTACACCGTGAGATTTGCACAGTCCCATCATCTTCCAGCTTGCCTAAAGTTAAAGTGCAGAATCAGCAATGAGTTGATGGAATAACTGATGTGAACAATTCAGCAATATTGATGCATTTACCCCAAATTTCTACCTGTGATTAGATACAGTTTGTCTCCAGTGTCCAGAGTGGCTCCACACGTTGCAGAGGAGGAAGAAGTGTAGACAGCGTCAATATTAAAATCGGGTCCTTTGTACACCTGAATCAACCCCCCCCCCAAAAAAATAAATATATATATATTATATTAAACTTATAGGGCAGCACGGTGGCACAACTGGTAGAGCTGCTGCCTCTCAGCGAACAGGTCCCTGGTTCAAACCCCGGTCCAGGGGCCTTCTGGGTGGAGTTTGCATGTTCTCTCCGTGCATGCGTGGGTTTTCTCCGGGTGCTCCGGTTTCCTCCCACAGACCAAAAACATGCATGTTAGTCTGATTGGTAACTCAAAATTGTCCCTAGGTGTGAGTGAGAGAGTGAATGGTTGTTTGTCTCGTTTGTCTCTATGTGGCCCTGTGATGGACTTGCGACCCGTCCAGGGTGTACCCCGCCCCTCGCACAGTGATTGCTGGACATGGGCACCAGCGACCCCCGTGACCCAAAATGGAATAAACGGGTAAAGATAATGGATGGATGGATGGATATTAAACTTATACAAGTTATAACTAACAGAATAACAATGATTGCTGATGTACTGTAGTTAATGTTTGTAGTTTTCAAGATGCATGGTTTTCTGGACTGGAATTTAACGTGATAACTCAATTTCTGATAGGAACATTTCCTATAACTAGATGCAGCTATTCACCAAAATGGACGTCAGTAACTCAGTTATTTTTCAAGTTCTTTAACTTACAAGGTTTAAATACAAATTCATATATGATGGCAGCCATTGTGGATGTACCCACTTGCCAAAATATAACTTTTTTCTTAAAGTTTTACTTATTTTTCAGATTACATCATTTCAAACATGCACATACTTTATAGACAGGTGAAGGGTTTTTCCAATCCCACATTTCTCTCCACAATGTTGCCAAAATGAAGTTCATCCAATACCTTAGTCACTTGTATGTCATATTTGATGTTCTTGAATGAGTTCCCCAAGGGGCCATTCCCAGTGTTAATCACCTCCTTTCCAGTGACTCTTGCGCTGAAAACTACAAAACAAGAGATAATTACACAGATAGTACAGTGTTAGCATGCTAGAGTTGAGCAGCAACACGTGTCCAAAGTTTAGATTTCAAAGTCAGAAAGATTGAAGCGGCAAGAGTTTCATCAGCTGCAATTAAAGAATGTGTGCTGCCTATTTCTAGAGAAGACAGAAGGAATGAAGTCAGGACTCTTTGACCAGTCCCCTTTGCCTGTAGGCTCCTCATTCTGCCTCTTGATAAAGTCGGTGGCAAGCAAACCAGTTTTTCAACTTAAAAATAGCTGTTCATGTGGAACAAGTTCTGACCAGTCACCCGTCCAGATGTTTTCACAAATTTCAGTTCAGTCATTAACCTTCAAGGTAGCAACAACTGATTGTAAGGGAGGGTTGACAGTTTTTATATTTCCTGGTAAATATTATTTTGCATTTATTTGAAGAATAAACTTCTGTTTTGTGTAACATTTAACATTTGATCCTGTTCACTGCTGTAGCACTGTCCTTTTCATTTAAAAGCTGGATTCTAGCTCAAATTAAGTATCCTGGAGATAATTCTGAGTTGCAAAAGATACAAACCGCCATCAACTCATCAATGTTTTCTAAATGGCATTTGGTTCAAAACAGAACAAATGTGTGCAGAACTAATGTTTATATTTTCCGCATGTGAAAATGCATTAAAAATTACAGTAAATCTGTTAAACAAGGCTGTACAATCTATTAAAAGGAAGATTAGAGCAGCTGTTGTGAGCCACTGCACACATTCATTTATTTCCTGCTAATGAGGGATGGAGAGAATCTGGTTTTAATGCTAGCTGTGTTTGCAGGACTTGCAATGCTGCATTTATCTTTAATGTCAGGTTTAACAAAAACTTTGCCAAAGAGGTCAAATATTCCACTTTACTGATCTAACACATAAAAACACCTTTACAATTAAGTTAAACTTACCAACATCTGATCTGCAATAACCCTGCTGAATATTGACAGGGATACACTTGCAGGCTTCTGCCACATCTGCCACTCGCCAAAGAAACAGGATGGTCAGTGAGAGGAAACAGCTTTTCATCATCAGAGTCATCTTAGGATGCTGAAGTAGGAACAAGCTGTCACACTGTGGTGCAATCAAACAGAAAGCAAATTGCACTTCCTTGAATGTGTTCCCCTAGTCAAGAGAACAGCAGCTTTTATCCACGTCAGAAAACATCAGGCCACACCCCCTGATAGTCATCAGACTCCACCCCTCTTGAGGAGAGAGGCAGAGGCACTGTGAGGTCAGGACCTTCCAAACTTTCACAAGCAACAGTAAACTTTGTCACTCCATCTGACACATGAAGGGAGAGACAACTGGTTTTAGGTTGGATGATAACCAGAGGCTGCAGACAGGTCAGCAGTCTCCAGCAGTCTGGGACTGTCTTCTCTGTTTACAACCAACCTGCCTCACTTTAACCTCACCTCTAACCAGAGGTCCAGTCCCTAATGGTGGGAGTCGTTCATAGAGGAGCTGTTGAAAGGCTCTGGGAGACAAGAAAGAGCTTCCAGATGACTGTGCTACTATACCGAAGCCATGATTAGAGACACAGATGAAAATGTACTTGGTGTGTCATCACGACAAATAAATTCCTTTTCTAGTTCGCAGATAGTCCACCCCCACCCCACCCCCGATTTGTTTAATCAGGGGGTTCTCAAACTTTTTGGGTTTAGGGACTACTTACAGGGGAGAAAAGGTTTCACGGACTCCTTCATAATCCTCACGCTTCTTACATATTTTTCTTCAATTTGTCTCTTTAATGCAATGGAAATATTTGTGTAACATAAAAACTTAAGACCTGTTCTTTAATAGTGTTAATATAATTGTTATACTTTTAAGCATGGAGTATTTTTCATTCATAACACACTTAATTAACAAAATGTTTAAGTTCAACTTCCAAAAATGACAATTTTGAGAAAATTAACAATATCAAAAACCACTTTAAAACCTTACCCATTCAGAATCATAATCAGAATAAGTTTTATTTTCATTGCACCGAGATACAACGAGAACATGTACGTACAGTCATACGAAAGATGGGCGGAGTGCACGAAGCTGCTACTATAAAAGTGCGGCCTATCTTATTCTTGTTCAGAACAATATTTTTGCTTAAATGAGAAAAGGGAAGAAAACATGAGGAGGGACGGTATAAAAAAAAAATCTCTCACACCTTGTCCTAGACAGGGCACAATTTGAGGCATCAAAAAACCTACCACAGCATAGAACATAAATAGACATTATACATGTACATATAGGCTGGTGAAGACATTAAAATTTAAGGGAAGACACCAGGAGACACATCTGACTTCACCAGAGTGAACATAATGAACATAAATGTATCGCCACTTCTTCAAATTATTACAGAAAACTCTACATAAAACTGAACAGAATCATAACAGCAGTAGTCATACCAAGCAACAGGGCTTAATTTGTAAACAGATCAATGCAGGAACGCAAATGGTGGACAAGAGTGGGTGGGGTCTGGGGGGTCTGGGGGCACCTACCCCAGAAAATTTTGAATAAAGTGAGACGATTGTCTGTCCTGTCTGTCTGCTCTACCCTGTGTTTTTTCTTCTCTGTGTTCCTGCTCCTGTACACAGCTGACCCAAATCCTAACCACTGCAGGGGTTGCCCCACTCGTCTCATTAGTGTCAGCATAAAGTCTCTGTCTTGTCACTCCCTTGGTGCCCGGGGATTATCTTTTCATGATGTCATGATCTGTCTCTGCCCCACCTGCCATGCCTCCATTAGTTTAAGTAAGTTTTGCTGCCCCGTCAAACCTCTTGCGGCCACAGTGGTGAAGAAGCCAACCAGGATTCAGATGGATGTCCATTGAGGAGGTGTCAGGAGGTGAAGAAGCCAATCCCAGATGGGCCACAACACAGCTGGGTGAGCAATCAACCTGCAATCACTCTGTCACTCAAACAAATGGCCTCAGGCCAGAACATCTGGGGTAATTTATTCAGACTGATAATCCTAGAAATCATAGATTTGCAGTTTTCCCTCTTTATCAGGGTGTGCCCCGAGGTTTGATAAATTGTGAATTAGTAATAATTCACAATTTATCCATTTTATAGTCTACCCCTACACAATAGAGTTGCAAGTACAGTTGTCAGAGAATTTTTGGTCAAGAGTTATGAATGTTTTATTGTGTTTTTCTGAGATGGCTTAGAAACATTTTTCTGTCTGCCCTGAAAACCAACTGACTACTAAAACAATCTCTTATATCCATCTGGAGGCCGTCTCGCTGACTTGCAGTGCCTCCTTGACATCATTGCCATGAGAACATGCCCAAAATATTCTCTTATCTTCTCCTGGAGGCTGGTTCATTGACAACCATGGATCATGTGTGGCTGCCTGCAGCTGCCTATGAAGGAAAAATGGCATATTTGTCAGGATCTGGTTTATTGCTAGTGTGTGCGTAGCTTTTTGTGTTTATCAGATGAGTCTGATTTACTCGAGTTTTCATTCTTCCAGTTTTTCCTGTGTACCAGTATTTACTTGTCCCCTGTTGAGTTTCTACTCCCACCTGTTCCTCGGTGTCTTTTCTTCAGATGTTTCCAGTTTATGTTCATAATTGTTCCTTTAGTGTTCATTAATGTTTCATTTTAACCTTTGGTGCACATTTGATGGTTCCTCTGTTCTTCATTGTTCTGTTTACAGTTGTTTCCTTTACAGTCGTTGTTTCCTCTCTGCTGCGCCTCTTTGAGTTCTAGTGTTGCATTAAATTTTGAAAGTAGTTTTGTTTTCTCAGTCTTTTTGTTTTAATTATTAAATAAAGCAGTTTGAGCTTTTTGAGACCATCATGTCCTGCCTGCATTCTAAGTTCAAACTTTACCAACCATGACAATATTTCCATCATAAGAGTTGGAGGGCCAACACTCCAGTCTTTTCAATGCAAATAAAGTAAAATGATCACATGTTTATAATTAGATGATTTCAAAGAAGTTATGGGTCTTCAGTGTTCATGATAGATCATCTTTATTCATCTTAAGGCTGAGAAATTCTTGTGTTACAGAAGCTCGTGGACAGACCACAAAAAATAAAAAGACCCAAAAAAGAATGGATATTGAAAAGATTAGGAAGTTGAATTTGAAGCTCAAACAAATAATGTTTTTGAAATAAAGGAAGAATTAAACAGTTACATCTTGGCACTGGAAGGATTTCCTAAACCAGTCAGGACAGCAGTTAAACTTATCAGGCCTTCTTAGATGTTGCAGGGCCTCTGTACCAGCAGCATAATTCATCAGGCCTCTTGATGAAAATGTAGTTTAAGGCTTGGGCATTGTCCCCATTCACCCAGTCTGTCCAAAGGCACTTTACTGGGCTGCTGACCAAGAAGGAGGTGATCTAAGGGGTTAAAAGATAAATGTTAGAGCAGAACCTCAGTGTCTTTCATGTGTCAACATTGAAATTTTGTATAATTCCCAGACTGCTATTCAGTTCTTCATTTAAAGGGTGATCATTAAGTAAAAAAATAAAAAAAGACACTGGATCTCTGACAGCAAAAATCTGTGTTTATTGAAGAGAACAAATTGTGGTCACTTGAACAGCACCTTTTCTATTGAAGTTAAAAACCCAAGTCACACAAAAGTACACCTCTTTGTGCATCATCCCACATCTCTTGTTTCCCCTGCTGATACACACCATAATAACGAAATGTCATTCTCTGCTTGGAATACACAAGCCTCACACCTGTCTTACTTTCCATGTATACTACCCAGTAAAGGGTCTGATTGCTAACGTTAGTTGAAGCTTCCCTTCTAGATTTGGTGGTGATAAAAAACTTGCATGCAACTCATATCATGGGCAACAGTAGCACATTCTCCTGCTCTTTACTGCCTAAGCAAACAAAATTCTACTTCCACAGTTTAGAAGTGAATCTTTCCCATACCTAGCAGACACAGGAACTCCCAGAGCAACGAATCAGATCCCTCTTTTGTGCAATAGTCAAGGCATCCATCAGCACATGGAAGTCACACATTGAGACATGCACTGTCCCATCATCTCCCAGCCGGCCTATAGTCAAAGTGCAGAAGATAATAATTTATGGAATAACTGATGTGAAAAATCAGTGCTTTTTGTGCATTTTACCCCAAACTCTTACCTGTGAGGACATACTGTTCTCCAGTTTCCAGAGTGGCACCACACTCTGCACCATTGGAAGCAGTGTAGACAGCATCAAAAATAATTGCAGGTTCTTTGTACACCTGAGTCAAACAAAAAACTAAATTCTATATCCAAGTTGATAAATTGAAAAAACTAAAAAAAAAAACCAGTTCATCCCATACCTTAGTCACTTCGACGTCATATCTGACAATTAGGTTTCCAAAGGGTCCATGAACAAGCTGCTTTCCTGTGACAAATGCTCTGAAAACTGCACACACACACACAAAAGAAAAATAAAACTTCTAAAATGAAGATACATTAACACAGACAGCACAGTGTTAGCATGCTGGAGGTGAGAGCAGAATCATGTGACCAAAGTTGATATTTCAAAGGCTTGCATGTGCCAGGAAGATGGACGCAGCAAGAGTTTCATCAGCTGCAATTAAAGAATGTGTGCTGCAGATTGCTAGAGTCAACATAGGAGGAATGAAGTCAGGATTCTGACCAGCTGATTTACCCCCTCCCCCTCCATTTCCTCATTCAGTCTGCCTCTGGACAACATAACTGTTATATATATATGTACCTGTATAGCTATTCAGGTGTAACTCAAATTCTGATCAGTCACCCCTGGAGATGTTTTTGTAAATTCCAGTTCAGTCATTGCCCTTCAAGGTAACGACTGTTTGTAAGGGACTCTTGACCCTTTATTAGTTGAAATACCTGCAGTGAGATTGTGTCCAGATAAAGCAGGTGTGTCCAACTAAAACAAGACCAGTCACATTGCAGAGGTCATTGTGTAGGAAGGGAGTGATAAACCTTCAAAAACAGTAATTTTGTTCTGTTGCAATAAAGTAAATTGTTATTAAATCATAACCATTTCAAAATAAAGACAATCTTAACATTTTGGATTCTAAATTCCACTCCTATTAATCTTTAAGATTTTTTTAAAATTAGATTTCTTTAGAGTAATTGAACAAAGTCTTACTTGTGCCTAATCAGAAACAGTTCAAACCACCACGC